AAACAGTTTGCATTGCAACAAAAAAACCCTTGCACTTGGTTGGATTGCCTGTGATCTTCTCAGGAAACGCTAGGCAGGGACTGGAGAGGTTTTGTGCAATGGTTATCGGCGGATGGCTGGGAGAGTAGTTAGCGATGGGTTGCGCTGAGGTTGAGACATTCAATATCTGAAGGGCTTTTACTAGCTCCTCCATCAACCGAGTGAGGTGGAATAATTGCTACTGATGTGTCGCTAGTACCTGGGCTTGGGTAGTGAGTTCAGTGGACAAAACTTGCATGGCTGCTGGATCCATGCTAGGCGAAGTCTTCTGTAACGAAGGGTCTGACACAGAGGGATCCATTTGCAGTACGTTTATTAAACACAGTTAAATAACAAGCACACAGTAGATACTGGTGTGCGAACTCACATGAAAAACAGGCTTATAAGGTCGATAGGCTAGCAGCTGGTAATCATAAGTCGATGTAGCAGGCATGGGTCAGAGGCAGGCGGCGATGATCAAAGTCAGTGATACAAAGCAAGATTCTAGACAGGCGGCAAGCAAGACAAGGTCGAGGAACAGTCCGGGTTAGCAACAGGAGATCAGGCAAGGAGGAATAACGCTCAGTAATGTCAGCAGGGCAAAACAAGACTTCGCACTGAAGTGTGAGTGAGAGCTGCTTATGTGTGTGAGTGTGATGAGGTAACGAGTCTCAGGTGTTGTGTAATCAGTGCCTGAATGGGTTGTGGATGATGTAATGCTCATTAGTCCAGTGATGATGACCTCTGCTAGCCAGCGAGGGGAATGACTGGGACCGAGTCAGTGACACATTCATTCATTCATTCATTCATTCATTTATTCATTCATTCATTCATACATTCATTCATTCATTCATTTATTTATAATAATAATAATTATTATTATTATTATTATTATTTATTCATTTGGTGGTTTTTATGGCATGAAATTGATTTTTAATGTTAGCTTTTTTTTTCTTTAGGAATAGATTTTTTCACATTTCTTGTTATTCTGTGTTTCTTGTCTTCTGTATGTAATGTTTTGTTTGAAGGGTTCTTTCTGGCCACTGTCTCTCACCACCTAGTAGCAAGACTGGCATAGGTCTCTGATTTTCAAGTGTCTAGCCTCTGGATATTTGAGCTTCTGCCAGGATGCTTCATCATTCTGACTGTTGCTGTCTCTTTCTCTGCAGACTTCAGTGTTTGAATGTTTGGGTTAGCTGTCGAAATCAGATTCAGAAGAACAGACAAAGTAAACATGTTCTCCAGCGTACACATGTAAAGCCCAGATGTATAAGAAAGAATATATATATATATCATTCATTCATTTTCTTGTCGGCTTAGTCCCTTAATCCGGGGTCGCCACAGCGGAATGAACCGCGAACTTATCCAGCAAGTTTTTACATTTTTACGCAGTGGATGCCCTTCCAGCCTCAACCCATCTCTGGGAATCATCCACACACACACACACACACACACACACACACACACACACACACACACACACACACACACACACACACACACACTCATACACTACGGACAATTTAGCCTACCCAATTCACCTGTACCGCATGTCTTTGGACTGTGGGGTAAACTGGAGCACCCTGAGGAAACCCACACGAAGGCAGGGAGAACATGCAAACTCCACACAGAAACACCAACTGAGCCGAGATTCGACCCAGCGACCTTCTTGCTGTGAGGCGACAACACTACCTACTGTGCCACTGCCTCGCTATATATATATATACAAACAGATACTATTTCTTTTGTGGTACATTTTCAATATATCAAGCACGAATGGTGGTAGAATGTTGTTGTTCTATTTGGTTCAGCATTAATTTAGTTCAATGTGAATGTCGCTATTAAATATTGAATGATGATTCACTGAAAAAAAAACTTTACTGAATCCAACCATGCAAACCAAAGGTTACAAAGGCAAGGAACCAAAACTCTCCAAATGAACAATAGAGAAAAAATTTTTGGGGGAAAAAAAGGCTCAGTTGGGTGACCAGATGTTTTCTGACCAAATATATAAGAGGCAGAGGTGTAGTCTAGAAATTGGTGAACATCTTTTTAGCCTTGTGAATAATGAGATTTAAGAATGTTCCAGATGAGTGTTCAGTCTGGACAATGGGATGTATTTAAAAGAGAGTCATACCATTACTGAGGTCTTTCCTGAGAATCAATCATGTGGGCTTGACACATCGATGTCCTCTCTAACCATAGCGTTGGATTTTGAAATTGGTTTTAAGGTGGTCCTCTGTGCTTGACAACTATCTTGTCAGGATATGAATTGGATCCAGTATTATGTGACACAATGGTTAGAGTGTTGGACTTGTCATATGGTGCATTTTAAAGTTTTTTCATTTGTGATGAATTGTGTTTTCAACTAAAACGAGTTTATTAATAATAAAAATAAAACAAAACGGCAACAAAAACAAGCCAGAGGGGGAAAACATTAACAAAACACACAAACAAACCTAACTAGGCAGACTGACCGGGATCAGGGCCAGAAAGACAGGACTAGGCAATAAACGAGGACGAACTGGCACAGAACAGCATACAGTAGAAGAATATAAGCAGAAACAATTACCAAATAAACAAGAGAACTGAATAAACCAATAATGGGATAAGAAGGACGGTGGGACTAGACAATAGACAGGAGAGCACATGTCACAAAGAAACAACACAAGTCATGTGCTCACATAAAACAATACTAAAACACGTAGCCAATGAAAGAACTCATTAACCGTGTGTTCACGTGAAACACTAAAGTGCTAAACACAACACCAACAGAAGACTGAACATAAGACATGAGCACACAATAAATAAAAAAAAAACACTTACCATGCACTCACAAGTGACATGCATGTTCTGATCCCAGTGGCAAACGAAACCAACTAGACCGGAGAGCTGAGGAAGAAAAACACCAAATTGTGAACAAAACAACAAACACACCAGAACAAGAGTGTACATCCTGAGCACTCCTTGAGCACGGCCCGAGCACAGTCAAAATGGCGCTCATACAAAAAGCCACCAGTGACAGAAAATGAGTGCTCAACCCGTGAAAACTCAAGCTGAGCAAAGCATACAAAACATGACAGGGCTAGTGTCTGGACTCAATAAAACAAGAATTAACAAGACCAAAGTGACAGAATCCTGACATTTATAGCAATAACTGTGTCCAGCACCCAATCCACAGCAAATTAAATGTTCAGGGTGCAGAGAGAGCAAAACACAATTGGCTTCTTATGTGATGTTGACATTCAAGGGAGTATTTGAAAGCTGCGTCAATCAGTTGATCTGTCAGTGGATCAATAAAGGTGGCTTTCTTAGTGACCTCATCTTAATTTAGATGAATTTTGAATCAAGTGCATCAAAGACCATTCTAGCAAAAATCAAAGGTATTTGTGTTAAGGGTAAGAACACCACGGTCAGTCGACCCATGATTCCTTAAAGACCACAGTAACAGACGAGTTTTCGCATTGTTCCTGTGGGACAGCCTGATTACCCGCAAGTGACCTACTCACACCTGCAGTTCACACAATGAATGTCCAGCGTTCTCCAGCGCCTAGACTGCAGCTCTGCACAAAAATTTTGGCCAGAGGAGAAATGGTCATGCCCAACAGAGCCTGGTTTCTCTAGAGTTTTTTTCTTCCTTCACTTTCGTCAATTGGTGAAGCTTGTTTCTCGCCACTGTCACCATTATCTTGCTAGGTTGTGACTTGTGGAGCTGTCAATCAGTGGATTTGCTCTTTAGTGTTTGGAATTTCAGCAGTAAAATTCAAACCACACTAGACTGAACTAAACTGAACTGAACTGGACTCACAGTTTTAATTTACTAGAACATCTATGTTAAGCTGCTTTGACGCAGTCTACATTGTAAAAGTGCTATATAAATAAGCATAAATTGAATTCCTGCTGACCAGTCCAGAATTTTTGGCATTGTAGATATTGGATTTTCTTGTGTGGTGTCCGTCATGTGTAAGCAAATCTCTTTGATTTGCTGTACACTACTTCCACATTTAGTGATAAGAGCCTATAGCCTACTGATTTTCCCCAGATTACAGCCTGATCTGTTGTCAAGCTCATTCAGTTGTAGCACAAAGACTACAGATTACAACAGAAACTTCTGAAACTGAAGCTGTTTGTAGAAAGCTCAACAAGCCCTGATAAACCTTTGCTTTCAGTCTACCATGAAGCTGTTTCAGCAGTTCATGTCATATTACTGAAAAGTTTACAAATCATGACACTTCTTCCTTCACCTTTCACTGTCTTTATTCACATATTTGTCAGAGTAAATTAAACTCACTTCTATCACTAAAATAAGCATTGATCCAGTTCTTTATCCCTCCTCTACAAATATTAGTCTAGATTTGGTGCAACCAGCTTCGCTGCTGAATTTATCATCCAATTGTCCTCTGTTCTGGACAACCTACAGAGGGTTTTAGTCACTTAAACCAGCCTACAATCCTGCAAATTCAGCAAAAGCTAAAGTGTCAGGCTGATAATTAATAAATTGGAGTCATCTGAAAGTCTTCTCTTTCAAATATCTTAAAACTTTTTTTTTTAATTTATTGGAGTTAGTGAGTGTGTATGTGTGTGTGTCAGGATAAAAACTTCACCCTCATGTTTCCATGAGGTTTGCCCAGCTAATTTCATGTCAGGAAATGTCCTGCTGGTAAATTCTGCCCAGTTTGTTTTGACACTGTCACACATTCAATACAGTGCAGGATGTACTACTTCTCAAGTGGACGCTGTGGCCTCTCTGAGGGGTACTACTTCTCTGGGGCACCCATCTTGCACAATCCATGCATATTCTTTTCGTGTGTCTGAGAGTTTTCCCCCCACAGAAAGCCTCTAAACACAGCACTTATTAATAAAAGAGAGCAAAAGGGGAAGAATAAGTTTAGAAACAAAAAGAAAAAAAATGGTTTGGCAAAGGAAAAAAGAGAGGAGGAGGAGAGTATAGGAGGAGAAAAGGGAGGGAATAAAAAAAGAGCAGCTGGCAGGAGTGAAGCCTGATATTACAGACCGCTGCTCCAAACCAGATGCTGAGGAACTTAAACCAAAGGCTAAATCCAGACGAAAGAAGGAGACTTGTAGTGTGTACTCTAAAGGTGAAAAGAAATATACCTTTATTTCAGTGTAAAGTGTTAGTGGTAGTATCAGACTGAAGGATCTTATAATGGCCAAGCAAAATGGAAGGGGACGTTGATTTTTACAAACATTTTGCATGGTTAAAAAAGGTAAGCATGCTGTCTGTTTCTGTTCTTAGATTCTAACTTTACCAATTGGCAAATACACAAAGAACACTTTAAGAACCGCTTCATAAGCAGATATAACCTTGAATTAGGGCTCATAAGAATATTATTCTCATTCTAGGTTTAGAATTTTGAGGGATAACATAGCTGGGACAGGTAACATCAAATGAGATGCATACTCCTGCTAGCAGTTTAAATGGTTTATTAAATTGTAATAACTTTATTAAATATGTTTTAGCTATATGTTTGAATAATAAAGTCCACAGACATTATTTTATGTTTGTGTGATGCTGTGCAGTCCCAGTATAGTCTGCCAGTATAGTGTTTTACTATATTTTTCAATGTGTGTGCATGTGTTTTTATGGTCCCACTTTCCAATAAGGTACTTATTTACTATGTACTTAGGTAACACTTTATTGATGGTCCCTTTGAATATAAGTGGACTGTCTGCTTAATATCTGCTGATACTGCTCCTTCAATGGACATTTAACTGACTAAGAAACTTTGCAAGTACATGTCAACAGGGCCAGAGAGGGACTCATTTTAAGCCTTGGAGTTTCAAGCCTTGAACCAGCCCAACTGAGTTTACGACTGACTATATTAAAATAATGTCATTTCAAATTCAGTTTCTAATGACACTATCATGTCTTTTTCAAGGACACAGCTGCTTTAGAACTTCAAATGTTTTTCATAACTATGAGATCATTAAAGGGTAGCTAAAACTCCAACACTGTTCTTTAAAACATCACAATGTTCTTTCCTGCAATATCTGAATATATATTCTATATAATTCTTTATTGATATCCAGTCTTTTGTAACGGTGGTCACACACAAAACAATAAAATAAAATATGTACACCTACAGTATATAAGTAACCCAAACAGTATTATATGTCTTAACACTAAAAATGAAGAAAAAAATAAATAAAAATTACTCAGGTAAGGGTTCGATCTCGGGTCGGCGACATCATAACGCAAAGTGCTATTATGGTGGTGCGTTTCGTAATATCTTCCTCTAATGCCATCAACCTCGGACACACAAGTAAAGAATAAAACAAGTGTTGCTCTTGTTATCTGCAAGACTCTTTCAACCAGAGCATTACTTTCTATTGATGGCTTAATCTTGTTCTCTCCTTTTTAGATTTCTGTTCATCTTATGTCAGATTCATGGTGTGTTAAGCTCATGACTGGTGGCTCTTCACTGTAAGCAGCAAACTGGACAAGAGGCTGCTGCTGCTGAAGAGCTACAGTACAAGAACACGTTTGGTACTGTGGTTTGCAGACATTGTTGCACTGCTCCTAACTAGCTTAACATTAACTTCCATCATCTTTATGTGATGTTGTACTCTTACTGCCACTGGTTTTGATGAAAAATATACTTAGCTTTTTTAAATTCTGGCCTTTTTAGCACCACCTTTGCACTTTTCATTATCAATTTTTCAGCACTCGCATGTCTCTTAAATGATTTTGATGATTAGCAAGGTGACGCTGTTAGGGAGTTGAATGATAATTACGTCATCATTAAGCTGCAGAATGCATTTTGCTCATGGGGCTGTGAGAAAATAAATAAAAAGAAAGTGTGAGCTGTATTTATATTTAAATTAACAATAATTTACTACAATGCACTTATTATGTTCTTATATGGTTTTACATTGTACATTCATTAGCATGTAATTACATTTATTATGTAATTACATTTAAAAATAGACTGTTGCCCATCCCTTACACCTTAACCCACCTATACCACTATACCTGGGCCAAACTTTGCCCATATCGCAGTAGGACCATACATGTTAGTAAATAAGGCCATTTAAAACAAAACCATAGTTGTGTATTATTTGTCTGTATTTTAAAGCTTATTATGTCTAAATACCAACAACTACCAAAACAGTGACAAAACCATTATTACATTGCTTTGAGATTTAGCTTGATATTTTGCTTTTGAAATAACACAATCAATCAATCAATCAATCAATCAATCAATCAATCAATCAATCAATCACAATATAAAAAATAATTTTCTTTTCCTAATTTTATCTCAGTCATTCTATTATCTTGAATAATATAGGGTTAAAGCTAAAATGCAAGGTAAGGAGGCTAGGAAATGTATGCAGTAATATGAAGTGATAACCCCTCCCAGTGTTATGTAGAGCCTATAGCTTCTTAATCAAATACTGCTGATCCTATAGGGCAGCTAAAAGTCAATATAGTGAAGTAGTTTGAAAATAAAACAAAATTGCTGGACAGTTCGTCTCCCGGTGAAGAATTGAAGATTCTTTTGGTTTTGGTTCGTTTTGGTGATCGGCCGATACTGAGTATCGATTCTAATGCTACAAGCTTTATAATGCATTAAGCACATTTTCACTCTAAGTATGATCCCAGCAAGCACACAAAATCATAAGACGTTGATATTGGGTTAGATTAAGGTCATGACGTCAGGTGATCAAAATCCAGTTATCTAGCCAGTTTAAGGACAACGCTATTTTAAAGTCTAAAAACGATGTCAAATTACGTTAATATTTGGTTGATTCTAGGTTGTGTTAGAAAGTTATCAAAATCCAATGTCTGACAGATGTCATAGTGGTAACGTTTACACAATGTCAAGGTGTAACATGATTAGACGTTGATATTTGGTTAATTTTAGGTAGGACATTGGTGTCATTGTTGGGTTCTAACATTAACCCAATTTTCATTTCCAAACAAAATTCAACATCCCCACAACTTTGGGGTATGTTGTAGTGCCTGCAGGGATACTTAATTGGAAATTTATTCTTTTATCCTTTTGCCAATTATCCTTTAAACATGTCTTTTACACCATTTAGGTGTGATCATGTCACTGTCAGAAGCAGCTTTAAAGAAAATAATAGAGATTTGCAGTGATTACTGCTCTATTCATTTTACCTAACCAATGTAATGCTTAGAACATCACTGTGCCTCTCGAAATTTGTTAACTTGCCCATTCACTCTCGTTGCTATGAATTTTTATTTATTTATTTTTTACTAAACTGCGGGTGTCACAGAGCCACTATGAATAAGTGGGAGATTAGCGGAGCTTCTGGGAGAGATCATTCCATTGGACACTAAATAGGGGCGATCGCTCTACTCACTTTACAGCAGCTCAAAACAATGGACATGCAAAGGTTACACTTGCAACTAAAAGACCATCACTCGCGTCATTCGCCAAAAGTAATTTTAAACAGTGGTTGCACTACATCTGTATGTATTTTAGCTGCTGTGTTAGGAGCACAGTAATCGCTTATGCCCCCCACACATCATTTCCCCCCTCTGGTGTTTTAGCTTGTAACCTAGGTATATAACCTAGGTGCGCACTTATGTCTTCTTCTGTTTGTAAACTCATAACACTTGCAATTGTTTCATGATATTATAGTATTGATCGAGTCATTAAATGTGATTATCAGCCGAATCCAATCTCTAGCCGAACGAACGGAGCATCCTAAATATTTGCATATACTGTATACACAAACACACACACATATATATATATATATATATATATATATATATATATATATATATATCTTTGACATGTCAACAGCAATGTCACTCATTTCTGTTGAGCTTATTAATGCAAATCAATCATCAATGAAATCAGTGTGGGTTAATTGACTGTTTTTAACTAAATACTGAACAACTGCAAGTTCATCTTATAAACAAATGTTTGATCAACATTTTTTATTTATTTTACATTCACTTTCTCTCTCACTCACGCACTCGCTCACTCACTCACTCACTCACTCAGTGCTACAGCAGAATGGACTGCCAATTAATTAAAATTAACAATTTACTTTATTTATTTTATGTATGTATTTTTACCGGAAGATGCATTTCCTAATACATAAAAATAAAAAAATAAAAATACAATCATATGACATATTCAAACAGTACTAGTCATAAGTCTCTCAGCATTACTGCATGGAGCCTGTGCACAAAAACCTGATTAGGAAATAAACCTCTTAAGAAATTTCTTTTTCAAACAATATGTGGGTTGGGTAAAGTAAAGCTCTGCTAACACCCTGTGACATATTCAAAAGAAATAGAATCAAATTGGATTTTGGGATCTATAAACAAGTTTCTGTTACACTGCCATCTGTTCAGGTAGCTGTGGGCCTTGCTTCATTGTTTATAGGGTTTCGCTTTCATCTCTGTTGATTGTAAGCATAACTCTAGCCACATGTGAACTACAGGTCAACGTGCACAGCGCATGCAACGGTGAGACCTACCAGGAGCGACTGTCTCGTCTAGAAGGAGATAAAGAGTCACTTGTGTTACAGGTAAAATCTTACAACATTTTTTTTCAAATGTGCTTCAACATTGTGCGTGTGAAAAAAAAAAAAAGATACATATTACTGATCTGAATTATTTTTGTTAGCATACAAGTAGACTTTCTGACTGACATTGGTAGAATAAGATGAATGAACATAAAGTTGTCCATTGGTAGTTTATGTTAACTTACAGTAAATTTAATAATGTTAACATCATGGATTTGGATTTTTTGAATGCATTAGTAAATGTTGAACTATATTAATGTATGCTGTACAAGTTTTGTTCATTATTAATTTATGTTATTAAATATATTAACATAAACTAATGACACCTTATTGTAAGGTATGACCAATAGTTCAAGAAGTCTACTAATATCCCAGTACAGTAATATTAAAATAAATGGTATTACCAAAACAGTTTAGATAGTGTATGAATTCAGTATGGTCACATGAATAGTACATTTTTATAGCTCTGCTTAATATATTTAAAAATGTTAAAATGATTAAATAGTTATATTAAATAGTTTAAGTAGTATGTTTAAATGTTTGAGTTAGTAGTATAAAATAACCCTGATATAATTACACCACTATCACCAGCCTGAACCATTGATACAAGGCAGGATGCATCCATGCTTTCATTATGTTAATGCCAAATTTTGAACCTACCATCCGAATGTCGCAGCAGAAATCAAAATTCATCAGACCAGGCAACGTTTTTACAATCTTCTGTTGTATAATTTTGGTGAGCATGGGCAAATTGTAGCCTCAGTTTCCTGTTCCTGGTCCTCTGTTCCTGGTCTAGCCCATCTGCTTCACGGTTTCTGCATACCTCAGTTGTAACTGGAAATGGACATTTTACTATTGCGTTATACTGTATGAATATATTGCAACATCTGCAGTAAGATGTTTGTTTAGGAAACCATTCATAAATGGATTATAGTACTGTATATGTTCAAACATCTCAAACAGCTAAATGTCAGTTTCATAACGATATTTCATAAGAAAAGTTTCAGTTGTAGTATATCAAATAACCGAAGAAAGCCATTGTGCTACATGTGTACAAAGTGCGCCTATCCAAGCCAGTGTAATTGTAATGATTCATGGGAACAGACAGGGCTTTGAGGATTAGTCTTGTTCTGGCTTGTTGGGTTTTTGACAGTAAGTAAAGGTGCTTGGACTGTATATTCCTGATTAACTAGGCTGTCAAGAAGATATTGGATTGCTTTAATTTGTCTGAGGCTCTGTATAATACAGTGTTTTTAATCCAACCGATTATATATTTATGTAGTGTGACTATTATTAATTTGATAAAACTGCAAAGAAATTGACAGCTTTATCTTAGGTGATGCATCTAAATTGAACTAACTTGATTTAAACCTGTTTCTCAGGTCAGTGTTTTGACGGATCAGGTGGAGGCTCAGGGAGCGAAGATAAGAGACCTGGAGAATTCTCTTGGGGAATATCAGCACAAGCTGAACTCCACTGAGGAGATGCTTCAACAGGTATTGGTAACATTTACATACATAATAGAATATTATACTTTACACATTGCCATCCTAGAATTATAAGGTTCTATCTGCCATTTTTGTCAAAATTGAGTTATTCAAAGCTTATTAAATGACATCTTACTTACATTATGGGATTGTTGTTTACATTTCAGGATTTAAAAAAAAAAAGAAAAAAAAAAGTTTTATCTACCAAGTTGAACTCAAGTTTGGCTCTAAAAGATTCTTTTTGTGAGTCTATCAGCATTTCAAAAGCACGCACAAGGACCAATCAGGACCAGTTTTCTTTGTCATTCTGCCAGACTGCTCCATTGCTAGTGGGAAAGACCAGAAAGAAACACAAGATCAGAGTCGACTAAATAATGCGAAGAATTAAACTAAAAATTGAGAAGAAACCTGAAACTGAAAAGATGTGTATATTAAAAGTAAATTATTTTTATTTGTGTATATATACTAAGTGAAACATTTTTTAAGTGTTTATTAAACTCATTTGCTCATTGTTTGATTTCTTTTTAAATTTGATATTAAGCCTTGAACGACAAATACTTAATTTAAACTATGGGACATTTAATTCAATAAATATAATTCAATAGTTCATATAAAACATTGTCATATTAATGACATTAACAGCTGCACTGGATAAAACATTTAGCACAGCCTTGTATACTTAATTTGAAAAAGAAAAATGTCCATCCTAAAACATTAAATACATTTAGCAAAAAGCAAAAAATTTTATAAATGTCTCAAACATTCACATATTGTTACAACACCAATTTATATAATTTTTGTGATTGTATTTCTTGAAAATAATGCTTCAATTAATGCTTTGGCAGATAGAACCTTCTAATTACAAATGGAAGATGTTTTTTTTTTTTTTTTTTTTTTTTTAATTAGAAAGTTTTATCTGCATTTTCCCTGTTTGTTTTACCCAACTTGCAAACTTAAGAGAATCTGGAGAATTCACATTTAGAGTACATTTAGGGTCTCTGTCATGTCATTGTATTTAAGAGAACTGCTACACATATATTGTTTACTATATGGAATTCAAAAACTTTGAAGCTCAATATCTTAAAATCATTTAGAAAGCAGATAGAAACTTATTTCCAAGGTGACAACATTCCTCCTACATCATTATTTCTGTCGTTTATGACTAATATCCTGCTTAAATTGCATCACCATGATCAGGAAAATCAAGTTTCTTATTCTGTTTGGTACATGTCTAGATGAAAAGCCGTACCCAAACAACTTTGTCTTTCTGATAGGAGTTTACAATACTTTTTATTTTTTATTTATTTTATTTTTTTTAGGCTTCATGTTTAGTAACATCTTCTTTTGCAGCTACATGTCAACTACCATTCATGTTTGTTTATCATGACTGCTTACACGTTATCTTGATAGTATACCAAAGATGGTCTGACTATTACGTTATTATATCAACAGTCTATGAATGTCCTACTCATACTTTAATGAGAGTTAGTTCATGTATATTTGGAAATTTACATACAATCGACAGAATGTCTAACGAGAAACTGAAGAGTTTAAATGCAAAATGCTGTAGAATAAGCATTTTTCCTAGCCTCCTTTGTTTACGATCAGTTATTTCACTTTGAAGCCAAGGGAAATAACCTATGATTTACACTAGGATTAAAATTACTACACACAACAGCCTGAGAATTGTTTTATTTCAACTTTAGATTATTTTCTTTTGTTTGTTCTTTGCATCCAAACTCTTCAACTTTACCCTTGTGACATTGATTTTATTTTCCAGAGAACTTAGAAATATTTAAAGCTGAGAATATCGTAAAGATTTAGTATTGAGATTGTCTCTTTCAATTTTGTTCTTTGGAACCAAACTGATAGCTTTAATAGGGCACCGGCTCACATCTGTAGAATAATCTGCACCTGATGTGTCTGCAAAGGAGCATTGGCATCTATGAGGAAATTCTTTGGTAGGATTCCAGGAGACTGATCGCCCCGTCACCCCGGTAACCCAAATATTAAGTGGTGGTGGTGGTATTTCAAGGCCTGATTGATGTGGGCATTGGAATTAGCTTGGGAATTGGTTCACAGCAAGTAACCTACTTTTTCTTTTCTAATAATCCAGACAGAGAAGGTGGAGGGAAAGGGAAAATATATTTTGAACTGTGTCCAAACACAAATAAATATATGAATAAAAAAGTGAGAAAATCAAAGAGTGGTTTTGAGGCTTTGGCATTATAGTAGACCTGCTTCATTTGAAAAGGACAAATTATTAGATTCAATCTTAATGAATGGTATAGCTGCTGCTCTTACACAGTGCACGCACACGTTTAAAGGGCTAAATTCACATTCCTCTACTTGTAAATCTCATTTTCCTTATAAGCTAATTGCATATTTCTGTTGAACTCGCCTTTGCTTTGAAAGCCTTATGGCTGATTAAATCCCCAGCATTCAGAGGGGAAGCTTTTTAGGGCATGTGCTTGTGGTCATTGAGGTTTTGGCCTTCAAAGGCAAATCCAATTCCAGTGACACGGGCCTAATATTTTCCATATGCCGTTTTTGAAAGTCTCAAAGCTCACGTAAAACTCCTTAGGACAAGCTACTGACATTTCAAACTGGTTTTCGAGCTTCTGTGTTGTGAAAAAGAGACCTGTTCAGTGTCTTTGTTTAACTATTCTGATCAAAGAAGGTAAGGCTGCTTTTATGTTTTACACCAAAGGTGCTCAAAGTTTTATGGTAAGAGATCAACCATATTTCTAGTTAAATGGCACTAAAGCGACACAGCCAATCTCTTATATCTGGGGCTCTAAGTGCTGGTGGCATGCAGTCATTTAAGAGATCATTAGTTAACATTAATTTGGATTTGTCAATTTTTTTAAAAAAATAATATTTTTTAGATGTTAGAATCGATCTCTTAAGTCAATCTAAAGTCTAGTGTGCAGTAAAACAGAGACATAATTTGTATTTACATTGCTCAGCATAATTGAGTACACCCCTTTTTGAAAGTGGATATTTTTATCCATTTCTCAGTCAATATAGGCAATGTATTTTTGGTCCATTTAAACAAAACATATTTATTAAACATATATTTATGAAAATAATATTTTAGTCACCAAACATATTTAGAAATTGAAAGATAATACAATTAAATTCTATCAAAATATTAATAAAATAATTAACATTTTTAATATTAATAAAAATTACAACCTACAAACTACATTTGTCAATTATTTTATTTATTTATTTTTTTTTTTTTTTTGCTTATTTGGATTTGTCCTCTTTTTAAAATTGTATTTAACATTTTTCTATTACATATAAATTTGGGTGTACTAGTTTTTGGAGCATTATCGTAAGTTGTTTTGTTAGATCAACTCTAGATTTGTCTTTAGTACTGACTAATCTAATGTATATACACAAATATGATATTTTATAGCTTCCTATGAAAAATATTAATTTAAAACATAGATTTGTGAGGGGTGTACTTATATATGCTGAGCACTGTGTGAAGATATGAACATTTAAAAATGTAAGCTTGTCTCAGTTTTTATTTGGTGAATAGAAAAAAAGCATTTTTATTACCATGGACCGGTCAAAATTTGATCATTTTGATTAGTCAGTTGTTGTGACAGGCGGTGCACTCGCGGGATTGATTTAACTGGATGCTTGCAAGCCGAGCACCTCCATTGAAAATAATGAACTTGTGCAAACTCTAGAAAAAGATTCAAAGTAAATCGGCACACTGCCACTTTAGCTCTCAAAAAATTTTTAATGTCAATATTACAAAATCACAACGTTTCGACCGACATGGTCTTTATCAGGTTTTTTGCAAACTCTAGAAAAGACATGATATGTGAACGGCTGTCATATGCGATCTCCAGCAGTTGATCTTCTTGCACAGACATGGTGGATTTACCTGATTTGTTGACAAATGCGTTGAGGATCTATTCCTTGGCAGTTCGCGGGTCCTTCACTGGGACTTTTTCCCTTAGAAAATAAATTTTCCAAAGGCGTCTGTTTCTTACTGTTGTTGCTGCTTGTGGGTTAAATTTTGGCGCTCATGTAAACAAGAGAATATGCTAATTTTTCTAAATAAAAGATTTTTCTAAATAAAACATCATTCAGACATAATAAATAAAACGGAAATAATTAATGATTTCTTCTGTGGCCTGGTACCAATTGATTCACAGAGCGGTACCGTGATCTGACCTCATTTGGCGTAAATGTCTGCTATTATGTTTATATTACATGAACCCCCACAGCATGCAGGTCTGCTTCATCCCGCATAGGCTACGCACAGAGCATATCATATGTGCGAGTCTGACCCATTTGAATGCTGAATGTTGTATTTTAAATCAGAGAAACGTTGAGTCATACTCAATGATGAATTCACATTTTAAAGTGCTTAACAGAACCTATAAGAGACAATACAGTTTCTAACAGGTTTGCAGAGTCAAATTTTTTATGCTAACTGCAGACTTTAATATCGAAAAACTTTAAACAGTACATTGGCTAAAAGTTTCCCCAAATTCTTGACATACATTTTCCTAGATATAGGTAAATTTGCAGTTACAACCTATTCTCATCATAACCTAAAGCTCCTAATGACTAGTAGTTGACATGTTAATTGACTTTTAAAAATAAAGTGCAACCAAAATGGTGTCTCATCCATTAATTTTAAACTTTGGTCCAGTGTTTGATATAAAACATTCTTTTTAATCCCTGTATTTTAACACCCTTTGTTTACTGTTGTCAAATGTAATACTTTTCCCACCACTGTCAGAGCACACAGTCTGTGTCTTACTCTCTCTCTCATGTGTCAGTCCCTGTGAGAGGAGCTGGTAAATATAGCCCTCACAACCTGTGTATATTTAGCCATTGTGGGACAGCAAAGTACAGATATTTCGAACAGACTGTGCCCTCAAACAAGTGCGCAGTTTCTTGTTTGCCTGTGTTCACATGTAAGTTTTTGTGTGGACTCTTGTAGGAGTTTTTCAGCAGAAGTTCTCTAGAGTCACAGAAGCTGGGGTTGATGGAGGAAGTGTCCTGTCTGAAACTGAAGCTGGGGGACATGGAGGACAAACACATCAACTGTGCCGAGAGACAACATAAAGCTGAGGTACAACTCTTATAAAGTCAGAATCAGCTGGTGAAAGTGTTGAACAGTTGAATTGTGAGCATTGCCATTTTTAGTAATTTTCAGGGGGTAAGCTTATTCGTTCAGGAGCAAAAATGTAAGTGTGTGCTGAATAAAACGTGTATTTATGTATACAATATAACATAAACAAAACTTTGTTAGTTGCACAGGTTCAAATTCTGCAGAAGTTTTTCCAACAAAATGTGGTTTTCGATGCCTTGAGTTAATAATGGTAATAATTATGAAGATGTAATGGATTGTTCAATAGCTCTTTAAAGAAACTACTTCACAGTTTTTGAATGACCATGTTTAGAAATATTTAAGATACATAAGAAATAGCTATGGAAACTACGTGGGAATGTAAACCAAAAACATATTCAAGTAAAAGTAAAACTGTTGATCCACATTAGTAAAGTATTTTTTTAAATAATGTGTCAAATTTAAGCCAGGCTCAATCTGAAAACATACCCCTATGCATTTCTGGAGAGCGGCAAATACCACCAGAGGCTGCTGAGTACACTTTTTGAGATCTCACATTTTTCTTGCGAGTGCCATTTGCACCTGCTGTTCTCGCATAAATCCACCAGAGGCCACTGTCGACTGACTGATCGACTAACCCATCCTCCTCCTTCCTAAACCCAAACAATAGTGTTTTCAAAAGCACAGATTGACCCTCCAATCCACTTTCCTTAACTTAACCGACAGGTTTAAAAAGCAATCCACAAAAAGAAAAGCCATCATCTGATTTTTACCACATTTTCAGATTTTACAACATTCTCACCATGTTATTTACTTGTTTATTTTAGTTTTTGGCTTCTGTTGTTGTCTTACCCAATCTCGTCGTTGTTGTCAACTCCTTTTTGCGTCTCAAGTCCGCAGATGTACGTAGCAAGCTAACTGAACAAACTGGTAACAGTGGGAAAGCCGTCCACATGCAGGTAATAATAATAATGATAATAATAATAATAATAATAATAATAATAATAATAATAATAATAATAACACATTTCATTTGTAAACAGCACCTTACTGGACCCCCAAGATTGCCTTAAAACAAGCATCAACAGTCATACCGGAATAAATTAAAACAATTAACAAAACATTAACAGGGGTAAGCGGTCAGCTGATAAGCACAAAAAGTAACAGCATCATGTCACCTCGTAGCATTCATTTTAAAGAGTAAATGCAGCCATAGATACTTGTGGCTACATATTTTGTGATCTCCCTAAATGTATACAGGGCTACATTTTCGGATTGAGTTTATGTTGGTCAAATTACTGCTCTAAAATTTATAATCTACTAATAAAAAATCTAATAACATTTAATAGTTAGTCATACTTTATATTAACACTACTCAAAGTCAAGAAAATGTCTATAGCAGACTAAATAAAGTGTAACCAAGTTTGTGGTCAACTGAGGGTGTGCTTAAGCTTATATAAGTATTTAAACTTATGTCAACAAATGTGTGCCTTTTAATTGACTGTGTGCTATATTTTTCATATAATTACTATGCTCAGAGTTATACTACTGCGGTACGGGACCGGTTGATCTAAAATATACCTTTTCTCTAACATTACGATGTGCTGGCATAAGCAGTACATGTTTATGTGGTTGTGTACCTTTAATTTAAACACAACAGGCCTCATTCAAAACAAACAGAACAAATTTATGGTCTAGAGAGGTTTAGAAGTGGAACCTAGCTGACAAATAGCCAGAGTGTTTTTAGCATGGAGAGAGTGTTAAGAATGACCTCAGCGTGACGTCTGACAACTGCTGTGCTTCATACGGTGAAAGAATGGCACCAATCCGCTCGTGAGCATTCCAGTCACATGCCTTTCTCTCTCTCTCTCTCTCTCTCTCTCTCTCTCTCTCTCTCTCTCTCTCTCTCTCTCTCTCACGAGGTCTTGGCCTCTATAGATAGGCCAGTTTACTATCTAGTCCACCATGCTGTTGGTGTCACATGACATCTCTCTTAAAAGTTGTGTTGTCCACAGGCTGGACACAGTACATAACTATAAAACTTTTATTAGAACACTTCCTTTGCTGCAAAAAAAATAAAAAAAAATTAAAAATTAAAAATAAAAAAGTCCAACTTCTGAATATTAAGAACTTTATTGCATTCTTTGGTTTTAAAAGTTTTTTGTTTCTGCTTCTGATGCCTGACATATTGAATGTTTTGCTGTTATTTTAAGTTACAGAGCCATTATTGTGCACACAGGAAGTCAACTTCCTCAGCTAATGACAGCTTTATGCAAGAAATTACGAGTTCACTTGATATGTTTTTGAAGATTAGTACCCAGACGATGAAGCTATTTCAAACGCAACATTGGAAACTGGTTTGAGTTCAGGTTATGATTACCAATGCTGTGTATCCTGGAAAATGAAATTTGCTTGGCTCTTTAACAAAGCCTCTTATACTGTACAGTATTTGAGACCTTGGCTTGTGTGAAATGGGTCAGTGAAAAATGAGCTTCCCTAAAGAAGATGATTTCAAACTGACGGGAAAAGACAGCATGTTTTCATATTGCGGTTTGCTTAGCTAGTATTTGGGATGTTAAATGATGCTATTGAATGATCCTGCAATTGTCCATCCTATTAAACTAAGCAAGTGACCTGGAAAATAGCTATAAAATACTTGTTTTATATGAAAACTCACATTTCTATCATGATTTGTTTTAAAATGCCCCTTTTTTGCTATTTTAAATGATCCCAATTAGCTCCTACAACAGGTTTATATTAACAATAGGTTTCCTCCTGTTGCTCCGGTTTCCACACAAGTCCAAAAACATGCACTACAGGTGAACTGGGTAAGCTAAACTGTCCGTAGTGTATGTGTGTGAATAGGTGTGTATGGATGTTTTCCTGTGATGGGTTGCAGCTGGAAGGGCATATATATATATATATATATATATATATATATATATATATATATATATATATATATATATATATATATATATATTTATATAATTATTTATTTAGAATTACTATATTTAATAATATAATAATATATTTAATATGCAATAAATACTGCAAAAAGGGGCGGGATTAAACAAGATGATTAGGTCCATATTTAGGGCGAGGCAGTGGCGCAGTAGGTTGTGCTGTTGCCTCACAGCAAGAAGGTCGCTGGGTCGCTGGTTTAAACCTCGGCTCAGTTGGCATTTCTGTGTGGAGTTTGCATGTTCTCCCTGTCTTCGCGTGGGTTTTCTCCGGGTGCTCCGGTTTCCCCCACAGTCCAAAGACATGTGGTACAGGTGAATTGGGTAGGCTAAATTGTCCGTAGTGTATGAGTGTGTGAATGTGTGTGTGGATGTTTCACAGAGATGGGTTGCGGCTGGAAGGGGGTCCGCTGCATAAAAACTTGCTGGATAAGTTCCGTTTCATTCCGCTGTGGCGACCCAAGATTAATAAAGGGACTAAGCCGACAAGAAAATGAATGAATGGTCCATATTTAAAACTTCTGTCCAGAGAGTCCATGTTTTGATCATGCAGTTAAGTTATGCGATTTTGCAGGTCAGAGTTTACCAAGCTTGAACTTTGCAATGCTGCGAACTGCGAAACTTGTCGCACGAGCTTGCATTTCTGGTTTGACACATTCACAGCATATGAAATTAAGTCTATAAGAAGAAAAGTGCAGTGTGACCGCAGCTTAATGCCGAAAGGTTTGATTCCACCCTAATCAAACACAGCTGATCCAACTAATCAAGGGGTTTAAGACTACTAGAGACTATTAAGCAGATGTGAGTTGGAGGTGGTTGGAGTTAAACTATGAAGAACTGTGACCTTTCAGAAGTTGAGTTTGAGACCATTGATTTAAGGATTCAGTCTCAAACCCCTCCCTTCTGAAAGTCTGTTCTGCTCTGATTGGCCTAATCTGTTTACATAATGCTATATTACCTGTTCCAGGCTAGTATTTGGCGCTGTCACTTTTTAGGTAAACAGTTGGTATAAGAAAAAGATGGCGATGTTCTGTTGGTACAGTAGCTCCGCCCTCATGTTAATATAGGATTTTATTGTAAGATGCATCTCTGCTGTAGCTAAAATTACTTAATTTTGTTCTGTCCACATACTTCCTTCATGTCACTTATTTTGTGTTGTATATGATCTTGCTCAGTGAGCGTGAGCAAATGGGTTGTGGTTCCATAGTGTTGAATTGCAATTAGCTTTTATTTCACATGACTTTTCAGGGCCCAACACTAAGGATTTGCCACATTTTCTCTAGCGCACCAAAACAAATACATTTATAAATAGTTCTTAACTTAAAATAACTGTAAGCAAAAGAAAGCAGGTGAAAAACATACCATGTGAGAATGAAAGGATGATCAAGTACACACAGTTACCGTTAGGCTCCTTAATAATCTGTCCAAATAATGGTTAAAAATAGACATTTATAAAAATTCTACACCTCCCTCAACACCATGTAGGCACATGACGCATGACATAATGATGCGCAAACATGTAATTGTTTTAAAAGACTCATTTTCAACTTTGGGCTAAAAAGAATGGCATATGTACAACCACATGAGGCTTCCTAGGAAGGCAAAGAAATTATTTTATTAGTTGGTCACACATAAAAAAAAAATAAATAAAAAAAACCTTTCTCTAAATAAGCCATAAAAAGTACTGTTCTGAACAATATGTACAGTAGATTTGCCAGTGTATGCAGAAAACAGCATCATATACATGTTAACAACACAAAACCAACATTTCTAGGCTACAGCTGCAAATACATTGTTTAAGGGTCAAAACAGACTGGCAGCAAACAGGTATTATGGATTTCGTAATAAACCAATCTTTATTTGTAGAAAACAAAAACCAAAAAAAAAAAAATGGAATTACTTATGACTTGTTTTTAAGCCATGGATGCTCAACCCTGTTCCTGGAGATCTACCTTGTTGCAGATTCCATTTGCAACCCATATCAAACACACCTGCCTGTAATTAGCAAGTGCTGTATGGGTTCTAGTTGATTGATTCAGCTGTTTTTAATCAGGGTAGGAGCTAAACCTTGCAGGAAAGTAGTTTTTCAGGAACAGGGTTGAGCACCCCTGGTTTAAGTCATTCAGTATTGATTTTTGGTTTATTCTTTTGGAAAACAATGGCTTCGATAACGGTAACACTTTACAATAAGGTTCATTAGTTAATGCATTTACTAACATGAACTAATCATGAACAACACTTGTACAGCATTTATTAATCATAATTGAACATTTACTAATGCATTATTAACATTCAAGTCTATGCTTGTTAACATTAGTTATTGCAACATGAGTTAACATGAACTAACAATAAACAACTGTATTTTCATTAACTAACGTTTTTTAACATGAATAAATACTGTAGTAAATGTATTGTTCATTATTTGTTCATGTTAGTAATTGCATTACTTAACATTAACTAATGAACCTTATTGTAAAGTGTGACCTCGTTAACTAAGCACTTTGACATTTAACACTTAAATTGTACATTCACAAACTGTTATATGATAAAATACAGTATTCAATAATAATAATAATAATAATAATAATGATAAAAGTTAAAAACTAAAAGAGCACTTTAACCTTTTAGTAGATTTGGAAACATATTCCAAAATTAATCCTATATTAAAGCATAATGATAAAATGTTGATTGCAGTGCATCATTAGTAATAGTATGGGGTAAAAACAGTAATCCAGGAAAGGAAATAATGGGATTTACATCTAGCAAACATAAACCGATACAAATAAGAATAGATATTAAACATAGTAGAGTAGTATATCTGTACAGTAAGTAACCCAGTAGGAAGCCACTGCTTGTCTGTCTCCTATAATCCATCTTTTCCATTACCTTTTTTTATCTGTTCCTCCTCTCCTCCCCATCCATATCCCTCTTTGACAGAGTGTAGTGAATCTGATTAGTGAGCTCCAGGAGCAGATGTGTAGGATTCGTCAGGAGATCTCAAGTAAAAACCCAGAGAAGCCAGCAGAGATGATCCCAGAGGAGGGCTATGGCAGTGAGCCAGCACAAGCTTCTCAGACTGAACCAAAGCCGACGGTGAGTCTGAGATCTGGACATTTAGACAAATGTAAACATTCTGGAACTGTGGCCATTGTGGAAAAGAAATACTTGGAAGCCCTTTGATCTTAAAGGTTAAAGTCTGTGATTACTGAAAAAAGGTTTCCAACTTTTATATGCATGCATTGTTATTGATTAATGATGTTTGTTTTAGTTCGTGCTCTAATCAAGGACATTAGTGACCACCCACATCTGCTGCTAGGCATTGGTTCTGCAAGTATTTAGCTTTTTTGTCCAAAATATTTTGAATGCTTTTTTAGATGCTGAGGTTTTACAGATGTCTTACTGAATTTCTTAACTGTGACTGAAAAAGTTTTATTTATTTTTATTCTTTTTTTATTGTAATCTGGATTTCTCTCATAATATTATATTATCTCATAAAGTTATTTCACGCATTTCATGTTTTAATGATTATGAATTTTATAAAAAAAAAAAATTCTACAGAACCATGTTGCTTTGCTTGTTTACCATACAACTTGTTGTTTTGATCTATTCTTTAGATTTCAATTGCTTGGGAGGAAGAAGAAAAAAAAAACTCTAGTTGTAATGTAATCACACTTACTTTAGCCAATTAATTAAGACAAGTGGGATGGAACAGACTTGGTTCTCAATTCAGAAAGGAAGTGTAGCTCTAGGAGGAGGATTTGCCCACCCCTCCCGAATTGACTATGATATTTTACGTATGCACATTATAAACTTTGTGCTTTTTTGCAGTTTATTTTTCTTTTAATGGAAAAAAAATAATGTTGATGTGTGTGTTATTACACAGAACTTGCTCCAAGAGCTCAAAATTCTCAAGCATCGAGTTGAGGAGCTGGAGCAGGAAAAAACCCATTACGAACAGAAGCTCAAGGTGACACAGGTACTGCCACACTAATGTAACTCAAAAAAAGCCCACCTGGAATCTACACTTATAGAAATCCACAGACAACCAATTATTGCACCTGCCATTCTATCAATTTACTTATGTAAATAAGTATAGATAGATGTCACAGATATGAAAAGTAATATGTTCTACATAGATGTATTACATGATAAAGCTATTGTAAATGTGTTCTGATTAAATTTGCTTTTGAATAAGCCTTAGAAATATATTATCATTTGATTGTTCTACTCAGAAGGCGTTCTGTCTGTTATAAAGATCATTATAACCTTTATTTTTACCAAGACACATTGAGATTAAAAATCTATTTTACAAGAGCATCCTGGCCAAGATTAGGCAGTATACATGTCACATGGGTCTAACAGAAAACATACAAAAACAATTAACAGCTAACATGAATCACACATTGACAAACAAACTATTCAAAACATCTATTCTACATCAATTTCAGTTTCAATTTCTAAATAATGTATTTTCTTTTTAAATCAATTATTTCAATTGCAACTTGATATATATAGCTTATACAGGTGTCCGTGGGGACTTAACAAAGTATAAAACGTTGATAAATCAATTATGAAAAAATTAAGGTCCTTAAAAAGTATTAAAAAGTCTTAATTGCGTTTTTACCAGGTCTTTAATTTTGTTAAAGCGTTGTCCAAAGTGTTTCACTTAAAAAAAAAAAAAAAAAAAAAATCATAATATATTTATTTTTCTCCTAAAGTTAACAATGGTTTGCTCAATCTATGCAATTAGTTTGGGCTGGGGTGTCTGGCCAAGCTCCTCCGTCTGGGTGATGTCACATAATTTGCGACAAGGTAATGTGACGCTCTCCACATGTAGCGAAAACATAGAGCAACATAGGAAAATGTAAGTTTGGATACTTACTCCTGGTTGGAGAAAGACGAGTTTAAACTGGCTGAAGCCTGTTGCTGAAAACAACTATGTAATTAATTATTTCAAGTTTTGTTTCTTCCGAGCTTATTTGAGTTCTGCTGCATGGTTGTGCTCCATTGATTTATTTAACTACAACTGTTTATTAACAACTGTTTATTGAGTTAAAGGTTTTGATACTAATTAAATCTTGAAGTGGCGAGGAGGTCATTCTGAGAAAGTCTTTAAAAAGTCTTAAAAAGTATTGAAGTTACCATTAGGATTCTCACATATACCCTGTTATAATACATATTTCAATGTGTCAATAAAACATTACTCCATTGTAAATCCTTGAGTATGATTGAAGAACCAAAAACATCATTGATGTAAAAGTAAAGGATTGATTATGTGAATGAAGAAAAAAAGAGATCTGAAAGATGTACATACCAATAATGTATTACAGTCTTATGTTAAGGCCCCAAAAAATTCTAAGTGAAGAAAAAAGGATGCAAACATCCCAATATCACCCAAACTGCTATTGAGATAAATATAGACGTACAACTACACATCTCTCTCTCAATAACAAAGGAATTGATGACAAACTGTTGGATTAAAAGAAAATAATTCACACCCAAGGCCGTTACACCTAGGTTGTGCAGTTTTCTTTAATAATTTAAAAGACAAAAGCCTATTATTCTGCATATGTTACGGTTAACGCACCTAAATACATTGCTCAGATCAGGGATCACCAACCCTAGAATAGGCAACTATTCACCTTATTCTTCACGAATTAGCGGGCACAGCTATTAGAATTTACTAGGCTTAAGACTTCAGGTCTCAATCACTTCCATTCATTTTTAGAGTTTAAAAACAGCTCATTCCGCTGCTTAATGTTGCAAACTGATATTTTCTAATTATAGTATTCTACTTTTTATGTATTGTCATGCACACACTTGCTTGTAAAGCAAGTAGTCTGACCATTTTCTGCCATTTATTATTCTTACTTGGTTAGTTCTACCTTAGATGGCTGAATCCGATGTTCTTAAACAATCGCAAAAATGAGCGCACTTTGGCATTGCAGAATCTGTTCAATACTTCAGTTTTAGCACACCTGCATGCCATTATGATGCTACCCAGAGCTACCCAGAGCATCTTGATTAGCTGATTCAGGTCTTTAACTGGGGATGAAGCTAATTTATGGTTGGTGATGCCTGGTTCAGATGTTTTATTTCAACACATTTGTCATGTTTTTTTTTTCATATCAAAACACTCCTTAAAAAAATAAATTAAATTTCAGTACACACGATAATGCAAAACAGCTCTGTGATGCACCGTCAATGGTATGCCCAATCAATATACTACAATACAAATAAGTAATATTGGTCATGGAAAATTGCTCAAGTTTTAATGCCAACACAACTACACTGTTGTTTTAGATTCTTGGCCCTGTCCATCTGCACACTGTTATTAAAACCCATGGCTGTTTTATTCATGCATTTTCCTTTGGCTTAGTTTCTATTTTAGAGGTCGCCACAGTGGAATGAACCACCAACTATTACAGTATATGTTTTACGCAGCGGATGTAATTCCAGCCGCAACCCAGTATTGGGAAACACACACACACTCATTCACACACACTCATACACTACGGCCAATTTAGTTAGTTCAGTTCACATATAGAGCATGTCTTTGGACTGTGTGGGAAACTGAAGGACACCCACATGAACACGGGTGAGAATGTCCAAACTACACCATGCCACCCGATTTTCACAATAACCGATAATGAACATTGTTTACACCGAGGGACCATAATCTCTGTTCGCACATTTACATTCACTTGTATGAAATGTACACACGCAAATACTTAACTTCATGTTTAGTGTAAATCCAGCATGAAAGTTTTCGGTGGTAATGCCTGATCTTTTACATCAATTGGGGACCTTTAATGTACTAATTGTATGAAGCTACATTAAGCTTCCAGGTTGCATTGCATTGGGAATGTAGTACATATACAATACAATACAATGGCCTACATAACATAATAAATCAATCTACATGTATATAATGACAGATGTTATTCTTCTCTCTCATTCAGGCAGAGATTATGACTTTACAGCAGCTATTGAACTGCAAAAACTCTGAAATAGAGAATCTACAGGCTCAGCTGCTCTCCAGAGCTCCAGTATCTGTGGACAGTGCTGAAAGAGGTACTGTATTACTCCTTCGGATCCATCTCAATCCTCATTCAGACACAGTCGAAACTAAAAAAACAGGGGTGCCCAAACTGGGTTCTGGAGGGCTAGTGTCCTGCAGAGTTTACCTCCAGCTTCCTTCAACACCTGCCTCGAAAGTCTTTAATTCAATTCAATTTTTATTTATGTAGCGCTTTTACAATGAAGATTGTGTCGAAGCAGCTTAAAAAGTTCTAGTAAATTGAAACTGTGTCAATCCAGTTTTCAGAGTTGAAGTTGGGTTTAGTTTAGTTTAGTTAAGTGTGGTTTCATTTTCACTGCTGAAAGTCCAAACACTGAAGTAGCGACAGTTGCGAGGAACAAACTCCATCACAAAGTGACAAAGTGAAGAAAAAAAAAAAAAAACCTTGAGAGATACCAGGCACAACCATTTCTCCTCTGGCCAAACTTTTTGTGCTGAGCTGGAGGCTGGAGAACGCTGGACGTTCATCACGGAGAAGCTACAGGTGTGTGTAGGTCATCTGCGGGTGCTCAGGCTGCCCACTGGATCAATGCGGAGACTCATCTGTCACTGGGTCTTTCAAAAATCAGTCCCATGCTATCCACTCCTCCATGACTACCACAGCATCTGGTCAGGATCTGGTCAGGATATGTCCTGGTCCAGGATTTTGGATACCTCTAGAAGTCTTCGATGGTTGGCATCATCTCTTCATTGGGGTTGAAACTAAAACATGCAAGACACCGGCCCTCGAGGACTGAGTTTGGGCACTCCTGCTGATGATTGAGTGCATGTTAATTAATGATAGACTGATAGATTGTTTGGCCATAGATTAATTTTACAGTTCTCTTTGGAGCTGCATGCTAACCTTTATATTCCATCTGCATTGTACTGCAATCAATCAGTCAATCACTAACCCTAGCAGTTTTTAATATTTGTCACGTGTGTTTCTGTTATGTGCTGTGGTACTGTAGCTAACAGTTTATTTTCCTTACTACCATCCAATCACCACTAGAGGAGATTTACAGAAGGAGACTCAACACCAAACGTAAGCTTGTTTATACTGTACTACACAACCTCACAAATTGCCTGAAAGATTGATGCAGAATACATCTGTGCACATTAAACGGCTTTCTGTATTTGATTGTGTGTGTTCTCACTTGTCTTATAGTTTTATATGACCCTAAAAAATGCATGACTGTGTGAGTGTCTTGTGAACTGGTGACTCTGAAATGAAGTCATAACCATTTATTGCAGCACTTAGCTTGCCTTGAAAAAGTTTAAGACCAATGTAATGTTTTCCACGTCTGTAATCTAATTAACGTTAGGTCTTTGGCCAGGTTTGTAGTTTACTAGACTTTGTAAACAATCTTTTATATATACTATTGTTTAAGGCTGTATTTGTTTTTTATTGCCATGGATAGCTTTTTGTGTTGTTTATATTGTATTATTTGTATTATATGATTTTTGTTTTATCTCTGCCAACAGATCAAGAGTTACAAAGGTTAAAGACAGGAATGGAATCACTTATTGCTGCCAATGATGAAAAGGTAAATGTAAACACTAATTATTTATTTATTTATTTATTTATTTATTTATTTATTTATTTATTTATTTATTTATTTATTTATTTATTTATTTATTTATTTATTTTATTTGTTTGTTTGTTTGTTTGTTTGTTTGTTTGTTTGTTTGTTTTAATAATAAAATAATTAAAATTGTTTAAAAAATTTAAATGTCATATTTTCTTTGTGTAGATTTTTTATTTAATAGTTTATGTATTTATTTTATTGTTATACTTTTAATTTAATTTTTGTTTATTTATTATTATTATTATTATTATTATAATTATTATTATTATTATTATATTTTTTATTAATTATATTTATTTATTTATTTATTTATTTATTTATTTATTTATTTACTTATTTATTGCACAAATTAAACACTGAATCCATAACTGTTATGCCCGCTAAGAAGTATAATTTCTGTAAATTCCAAAACATAACTTACTTTGTCAACACACTCTCCTCACCGTCTCGCCATGTCCACAGGGTGAGCGAAAGTCATTTCTGAGCACACTGGGCCCTTTGTTTTTCACATTGGCCTGTGTTTATGAACTTAAGTGTGCAGAATGTCTGAGGAACTGAAGTCAGAAACAGTTTTCCCAGAGAAGTGCCAAATACTTGGGCTTAAGAGACTGGGAGAGGCTTCCTTCTGTGCCATTTAAATTCAAAATGTATAATTACTCTGTTTCTGCTCTGTCTAAGTGATAATTGACGTATTTGATTTCAAAAATTGTGTGGTTTATTTATATGTTTGTTTTAGGATCGTCAGATTGAAGAGCTTACTCTCCTCCTCAGTCAGTTCAAACAGATGAATGAAATCATGACTTTAGTTCAAGGTAACTTCTTTAAACTTTTTTTTTTGTTTTTTTTTTTTGCTTTTTTTATAAGATGTCAGGTCAACAAAACTACTTTCAGAAGGATTAGATAGAAAATAATTAATGTACTAAAGGTCATGATGTCATTAAGGCCTTATAAAGTGTGCATAACAGATTTTAACTATCTAGAAAAGTCAAGTGTTAAATGGTTGTCAGTAGGGGTGTGTCAAGACACGGACGAGACGAGACTCAAGACTGGGTTCATGAAAACGAGAGGAGATGAGATTTCTACTCTGTTTTTAAGAAATCTTCAATGATGAAATATATAAATAGATTTGTATTAAACTGGAAAAACATCACAAAATGCAAAACTATTTAGGTGCTTTTTTTAATAATACTTGTAAGGAATGTTATTTTCCTTCTATTTTAATGCATTCTATGCTGTAAAGGAAACACTGCAAAACATTTGCTAATATATAAATGATATAAATAATATATCTAAAATATAATTGTATTTAACTGAAAAAAAAGTTACAAAATGCATTAATGTAGGTGCTTTTTTAATCAACTAGCAATTATGGTATTTTACCTCTATTTTAATAAGTTATGGCATAAACACTGACTGGCTTCTCCCCTGAACAATTTCACATGAGAAATCAAAAAATGTATGTGATTATAATAGTTTTTGTATTTCATTTTAAAATTTTCAGCGGTTTCAATTTTATTCAGCAACATATTATACTCCTGCGACAAACTCATAGCTACTGGATGTGAGTATGAAGTGATGACTGATAGGAGAAAGTTGTTTTATTGGAGTTTGATACTGCATACTGAATGAAAAGAAAAAATAGGCTGTCTATAGACAGCATAAATGTGTGTTAACGATGATGATGGGTGTGTTGAGTCTCCAGGAGTTTCCTATGTTTTTTTTTTTTTTTGCTTAAAGATGTGTGTGTCTCCTTTACTGTCTCGGTAGGTGCAGAGAATAGTGTCAAACAGCCATGTGTGTATGGCTTATCCTGTTGCAAACTGCAGCTAAAAGTCCTACATGGTGGCAATAGTTTGATTATTATCACATGTCTTTACTGCACTTAAATAATGCGGCTAAAATAGGAATACTACACATGTGCTAGTTTGATTTGTGTTTACGATGAGTATAATTTTAAGCATATCTAAAGAGCTTTTCCATTGCATGGTTATGAGTTGTGGTTAATTTGTGTGATGGCAGTTGTAGCAGCCTTTGCTTTTGGATACGGCAACTTTTGAACTCTTTAAACTCACATCAGCGGTTATGTCACACCTACCCAAGCAAATGAGTGATGCGCAACACTGAAGCAACCGATTTATATTTCTTTTTTTTTTTATTTACCTCTTAGTTTTTTTTTTTGTTTTTTTTTTAATCATTGTGAATAATCGAATGATTATTATTGTAAGTGATGTGTAATAAATGAATTTAAATAGCTAAATAAAATTAAATTGAATAGCTCAGATAAAACAAAACTCTGCGATAAAAATAACCTATACTTTATCAAAAAAGTAAAAAAAAAACTCATTTAAGAATAAAGTTTTAGATGGCACTTAGAGGTTTTTGCATTCTGCTCTTCATGCACTGTAAAAAAGTGCAACACTGAGGTAGCCCGGGTTGCCAGGTGTGGCCCGAGAACTCGTCACACCCCTAGTGGTCAGGTTACATAATGATTTGTGTGTAATTTGAACATTAGTTGAACGTTATAATAACACAATGTTTTAAAATGTTGAATAAACTTACAGTTAACTGTAGCACAATATGACTGATGTTTTCTACAGGTACAGAAGACAAATCTATTCAAATCAGAAGTGAGGATGAAAAGCAGAACGGGGCTGTGAAAATGAAGACGTTAATACAAAAAGCTCATCCTGAGGTGTGTACATGTATGTGTGTGTGGGTGTTAGGAAAATAATGAATATTTTATTAAGATCTACTTCCATTTGGATTTACAGTTTTTCTTGATTGCTTTGATGCAGCCGTCAACTAAAACTCCACATTTTTAAAACAGTTAACACAAATCTAAACAGCGGCACTCATGCAAAATGCAAAACGCACATACCGTGTCAAAACATTTTAAATATGCAACAAAAGCTAGTTTTACCTTTAAGCAATACCACTTGCAAACAAGTATTTTAGCTCTTTTAATCCATCACTACAAAATGGACAACAAAATACAGAATTCAGTGTGAATCAGTGCAAGATTGCTTGCCATTGCCAATGCCATTTGTTGTCCTTCTATTTTGGGCTGTCAAATTTGCCTTTTTACAAAGAATTAGATACAGAATAAGATTTGCTTTGATCAAATATATATTGAATTCATGACATTTTTCAAACTGTGGCTGAAAACTGAAATACTGTCAAAAAAAATAAATAAACAGACAAAAGTAGTAAAATACTGTAAATAGAGAAAACACATGTAAACCAATATACAGTCAAATCTATTGGGAGTAAATAGCCACCATTAACCTCTTCCATCCATGCTAGCACAGAACAACACAGACCTTTCACCGTTTTTAATATTTGCAGACTGAAAATGTGTCAACCCAACACTGTAAGAAAAAAAAAATCTTAACAAAAAAAAGGTCAAATGACTGGCAGCTACGGCTGCCAAACAAAAACCATAAAATTACGGTAAAATGTCTTTGTTGAAATAAAGTGCAAAAAATAATAAATCTACAGATATTTTCATTAAAATGTTTACAGAAAAACACTGTTATTTTACAGACTTTTCCTAGATTATTACGATCAAATCCGTTCAATAAAGTTACATGCTAAGAGTTTTACAAAGAAACACTGTTATTATACAGACTTTTCCTAGATTATTATGATCAAACACCATCAATAAAGTGACTGCACTAAAAGTTCAAGAGAAAACAATGTTATTTAAAAGAATTTTCCCTAAATCATTTCGATTAAACACCTTTGCTAACATGCCAAGACATGCTCATGATCGTAGTTTAACAGTTTTATTTTGGATCAAAACATTTTGGAAAAACAACAAACGAGATACAACTGATTAAAATTCTCACAACTTTAAAATTACAGTTGTTACATTTTATTGAATAGTGTTTATGTAAAACATGTAGAGGTTTAAGTTAAATGGAATGATTCAGTTCCAAATCTTAAATGAAATGGAACTGTAACATGAAGGGGACGCTGAGAAAGAAGTGCAGATCCAAATGCAGGTTTATTACACAGAGATGGTCAGGCAAATAACAGTCAACACAGTGGCAAACAGATGTAACAATATGCAGGCAATCCAGAGTCATGGTCAAATAACAGGCAAATGGTCAGTCTCGGCAGCAAACAACGTAAACAATTAACAAACAAAGCAAGGCAAAAGAAGAGAACCGCGTCATAATGTTCACAGTAACAGTATAACAAGACTAAGCAATTGGTCTATGCTGCTTTTAAAGTGCATGGAATCAGTTCATAACGATCCTCCAACTGTGTGTGTGTAATCAACGGAATCCGTAACAGGTGTATGTGAGCGCACTAAGTGTGTAACTTTATTGAACGGATTTGATCGTAATAATCTAGGAAAAGTCAGTAAAATAACAGTTTTTTTTTTCTGTAAACATTTTAATGAGAATATCTGTAGATTTATTATTTTTTGCACTTTATTTCAACAAAGAAATTTTACCATAATTTTATGGTTATTGGTTAGTATATTACTTATATAGTACATAAAATAACAGTCAAGCTGTTAATTTACAGGTATTGTTTGTAATTTTTACGGATTTTTGAATATAATTTAAAATAACAGAAAAAATAATGTATAAATAATACTGTAATTTTCCTTTATAAAAAACAAAATTGTCAGTAATTTGTCTTTAATGATAAAGTACCTAAATGAAAGTCAAACTGTGAATTTAGAGAGATTGTTTGTCATTTTACTAAGTTCTACATAGAATTTTAAAATACAAAAAATTACTGTAAAAAAATGTAGGGATATTCTCTGTAAAATTAGTTGTTGAATGAACATTAAGTGTAACCTAGTTCTAGCCTTTCTGTCATGTTCTGGTAAAATCTGACCGATATACAGCTTAAAACACTCTTAAATATTTTGCTTTACATATGATTGCCTCAAGGCCTTATGATATCCTTCACACTATGCACTTAAAACAGTGATGATCACCTCTTTTCTGGAATTTTAAGTGTTTTAATCGACTTTGTTTCTCTTCTTTTTTTCTTTCTTTCTTTCTTTCTTTCTTTCTTTCTTTCTTTCTTTCTTTCTTTCTTTCTGTCAGTCCACAAGAAAGTATACAGTTTTGTTTGTGCTTTGGTTGATAAATTATTCGGATGGAATCAAATTTCAATTTCTTTGGTCAGACCTTGTGATATTTATTTTAGCAAGCTGTCTATTGGTAATGGAACAAGGATTTCTGTCATCTTTTGTTTATTTGTAATACGATTCCAGTGTCTATTTGTAATGTCACAGCAGTTATTGTATGTCTATTTCTATAAATTTATGTTGAACACTACTTTAAGACACACAGCTAAAGAATGTTGAGTAAAAATTTGGTGGTGAAAAATGCTTCTTTGTGCTAATTTAAGAGCAATTAAAACTGAACGGTCAATTTTCACTAGGAACACTAAAGTAAGGAGCGTGATGTAATCATGTCAGGAGAGTTAGTCAGATTTTTTTTCCTTCGTCTGTATTGTTTATCTTGTGCATTATTATATTAGCTTTTTGTGTCATATGGCATATGTTTGTTTTGTATTGCTATTCTGATAAAAAATCAATATACTCTTTCTTTTCTATTTATTTTTTTATTTATTATTTATTTTTTTGACACAGCTGACCTTCAGCAGCTCAACTCCTCTACTATTTTCTTCAGTTTCTTCCCAGAAAGATGCAAACTCCAGGTAAAATGATCTGACATATAGTACAAACAACCTCATTTCAGACAGGAAAAAAAATCACATATATTGCATTTATTTATTTAATTTTATCCACAGGTCTAATAGTATAGAAGACTTTAATGGCAGTTCAACTCCAAAGGTTTGACCATGCATCCAATATCATTTATTTAAAGTTGTTTAGCTGTTGACAAAAAAAAAAAAAAAAAAAAAAAAAAGATTTCTGGTTTATGTCTGGTGGATTACAGGCTTTTGATTTTAGGCTTTGAATGGAAAACTGGTAGAGCCTGTTATGTCAGAGGAGGTACTTAAATTACCGTCTTTATAAGTTATCAATCTGTCATCATTACATTTGCCTTTAATCTTACAGTTCAATTAAATAATTGTGTACAAATTAAATCATGCCCATGTTGTTGCTGGCAGTGGTGCAGTTCTGATACTATTATAAGAAGTCGCAGCAGCCAGTTTTACACCTCACCTCACTTCTTACCCATTTTTTTTAGACTGGACAAGCTGATAACAAACATCAGACGCTCCCAGCTGTGACTCTCCCAGAGAAGAGAGAGGGTGAGACGAGTGACACATCAGGCAAAAAGTCTCCAGAGAATAAGGATGAAGACATCAACATTAGTATGTGACCTATTCAAAGTATCTCAGACTGTTTTGAAGTCACTGCCGCTGGTTTTGAGGCTTGGGGGGGCGGTTATGTTTTAATAATTAGGTTTTCAGGTGTGAAACAATGGACCCATATAAACTGGCTAAACTAAAAAGCCTAGAGACTTGAAACCTAACTCAGATTTTTGTAGTAAAAAAAAAAGTATCAACAGCCATATCATCCTGTAGCCCAAGACCGATTACTCACTGAAGCTAAGCAGGGCTCAGCCTGGTCAGTGCCTGGATGGGAGACCACATGGGAAAACTAAGTGGTGTTAGAGAGACCAGCAGGAGGGCCTCAACCTTTTGTCTGTGTGAGTCCTAATGTCCATTAAAAATCCCATGGCACTTCTCGTAAAGAGCAGGGGTGTAATCGACCCTTATGATCATGGCCTCCCAATCATCCCCACCCCAGCTCTATCATTGTCTCTTCACTCCACCAATAGCCGGTGTGTGGTGAGCGCACTGGTGCCATTGTTGTCCTATGGCTGCCGTCGCATCATCCAGGTGGATGCTGCACACTGGTGGTGGTGTGGAGAGACCCCTCTCATGATTGTGAAGCGCTTTGGGTGTATGGCCATACACAATAAATGCACTATATAAATACACATTACATTTAAAATTTGCAAACTAGTCTAGTGTTTTTCCGATAATTGGAAACAAACTTATGGAGAGAGATTCCGGAATCTGAATATTAATAAATAATGATAAATAATAATAATAAAAAATAATAATAAGAAGAAGAATCTTTGACTAAGGGCTGATGGGAGCGCAAAAACATTAAAAAGTTGGCAGAGCCATTTTTCTCTAATGCTGACTCTAACACTGTATCCTAACAACATATGATGTGCTACTGAAAAAAAATCTAAATAAAAGTTACATTTTATTTCCATATATATATATATATATAGCACATCATATGTTGTTAGGATACATATGTATATATAAGGGGCAACGCAGTGGCGCAGTAGGTAGTGCTGTCATTCCTCAGCTCATTTGGAGTTTCTGTGTGGAGTTTGCATGTTTCCCCACAGTCCAAAGACATGTGGAATTGGTGAATTGGGTAGGCTAAATTGTCCGTAGTGTATGAGTGTGTGTGTGTGTGTGTGTGTGTGTGTGTGTGTGTGTGTGTGTGTGTGTGTGTGTGTGTGTGTGTGTGTGTGTGTTTGTGTGTGTGTGTGTGTATGTGTGTGTGTGTATGTGTGTGTGTGTGTGTGGATGTTTCCCAGAGATGGGTTGCGGCTGGAAAGGCATCCGCTGCGTAAAAACAAGCTGGATAAGTTGGCGGTTCATTCCGTTGTAGTGACCACAGATTAATAAAGGGACTAAGCCGACAAGAAAATGATTGAATGAATAAATATATGAGACAGCTCATCGGCGACAGTTGACGTTTTCTATCCACAAGATGGTGACAGAACCCTTAGGCTTAGAAGATATAACAGTCTGATTTCTATCTATAGCGGATCAAATCAATCAATATTAAACTGGTAAGCACACCTGCCAACACTTCAGTTTTTTATGGGAATATCCCGTTTTTCAGAGCAGTATCCAGCAATATCCCATTTTTTTTTCTTTTTCATTTCTTAAATAAAAACTCCCGTAATTTCACCTCACCCCCGAACACACACACACATATATATATATATATATGTTTTTTTTTAAGTTGTTTTCCAAAGTAATTATTTTAGAAACAGTTGCGGCTGCAACAACAACATAAACAACTATGACAGTGATCACCTCAGATGCTCATTGTGTGCTTTATTATGTGTCAAATGTTACCAATGTGAGTTTGAATATCATTCTTAATATCACACCTCAAACTGAGGTTTACCTAAGATCTTGACAATAAAATAACTAGCAGACATACAGTAGTTTAAATATGAGCATTGGAACTGTGATGCAATGAAAAACATCAATATCAGTCACTCAGCATGTACTTTTATTGTTAATGAGGTTTAATATATTTTTATTAGATTATAAACATGTCAATTTTTTTGAGAGTACAGTTTCTGTCATGTAGTTTCGGGTGCAGACAACTAAATTTATTGTTGCTGGAATTGTGTCGCATTGTGTGTTGTTAGGAGGTGATGTGAGTACACACATCGTCCATTAACAAAAACAACTGTTTCAAAATCATAATCTCAGGTGAACTGAATTTTCCCTTGACATGCCATTGTTTAAGATGCAACCCATGTCTAAGAGTGTGTATCTCGAAAAGTCTGGCCACCATCAGGCAGTGAGTTTTGAGAACAATCAATTAAATAAATCAATGTATAATTATTTGGATGAAGAGGGTTGTGGTTGTCAGAGGCCAGGTAATTTCAGGTAGTCTGATATGTGACTTAGCATGCAGTTTTATTTCTATGTGAACTGATCAAACACCAAATTTGAAAGCATCATTAGACAATGATTTTCGCAGATTGCATCTTATCAATAAAGTTCAATGATTCTGTGCTTCCTGAATCCATAGTTTAAAGGTGCAGTATGTAAGTTTACGCACATAACATTTTGGGCCCTATCATACACCCAGCGCAATGTGGAGCAAGGCGCTGCGCAATACGTGTTTGCTAGTTTTAGCTTGGCGCAAGAGTTGTTTTGAGGCGTTGCACCACGCTCTTTAAATAGCAAATGCATTTGCGCTCATATGTGCATCCATAGGCGTTCTGGTCTAAAAAGGAAGCCATTCTGAGGCCACAGCTGGCGCATTGCCATTTTGAGAAACTATAATAGATTTTTCATTAGACCAAAACAAACCCGGTCTAAACTCCAGCGCAAAGTTGCGCCTCACTTACACAATACTTAATAGCCTACACACAAGATGTAGAGCATTACGCAAATATACATATGAAAAAATTTATATATTAAGGCCTATATATAGGATATATTAAGAATATATATAGGATATAAATATAAAGGATTAAAATATTACAAAACATTATTTTCTAGCCTACATAAATATAAAAAACCACTGCTTTTTGCCTTCTTCATCTCAGGAGGCTTTTTCAGTTCATTCATAACAATTTGCTTTTGTGTAATGTTATTATTATTAGCAGTATTATTTATTATATCCATATTTATATTTGTTTTATTAAAAACAAGCTTAGATTTGCCCACCTGCAGGTTTTAGATATGGGGCACAGCATGTGTTTTAGGATATAACTCAGGTTTTTGAGCACACTTCGTTATTATTGTTTATTTATTCGTTTGCTGGAAATTATAACTGAATTTAGAAAGAGTTTTGAAACAAATATTTGCGCTTAACAAACAAAATTAATTATTTATAGGCTAATTGATGTCTGTGCGTAAAGGTTTCCCTATCCAAGAGCAAAAGTGAAAGTAGATCGATTATCTCTCATTCTTGTGCGGTAGATGCTCTGTTTGACTGTTTTCTGTTAAAAAAAAAAAAAAAAAAAACTGTTAACTGTTAGCTTGTGAAATGCTCAGTTTTTACACTTCCACTTACTTTACATCCTGTAAATAGCAAATGCACTTATGGCGAGACGCAGCTGGCTCTTAAAGGGAATGGGAGATGAGACTCTGATTGGTTTATTCTCAAAACACACCCATAACTCACTAAGAAAATAAACTCAACCCTTTTAGACCATGCACCACAGCGCAAAGCGAATTTTCCCGTCCTTAAATTAGCAAAAATGCATTCTGACACGCCCTGAAAGCGTTTGCGCCCTGCATTTTGCACTTTGTGCATGGAAATAGAGCCGGAGGTCGCAATTTGGTCACTGATGCATGCTTTCAAATTTTTGAATGAATGAATGAATGAATGAATGAATGAATTAATTAATTAATGAACCAATAAATGAATGAATCAATCAATCAATCAAATATGTGATTTTCCACAAAGCCAACCAGAAGTGCTGAAGTATAATTGGCTAAACTGGCATTCGGTGGATTAAAAAAAACTAAAACAAAGAGAGTGTGTTTTAAATAAACATAAATGTTCACTTAGCATGTTTCTTAAACATCTGAAAACACATTATGGTATTTTTATGCTTTAGAAGAGTCAAAAACTTACATACAGCACCTTTATGCCCCATTCACACTGGCTTCAAAGCTTCCCATTCACTTTGAATGGGTGAAGTCAGGCTTTGCCAAACTGCATTGTGGAACCGTCGGCGCCATTTCAGAGGCGTTGTCTGCTGCAAAATTGGGACTTCAGATTGCTGTATGCAAATTGCTGACAAATTTTTTTGGCTGACGCTGCTATGATGATCAATCATATCAGCCCCAACTTCAGACACACCCTCTGTCAAACATTTGTGCTGAAACCCCATGTGAATGGGGCATTAAGCTTTAGCATTACACATTTGTGTGGTTGGAACCAAAGCTGTCTGTTAAAATGTGCTTAGAAATGCTCTGGTTACTAAAGTAACCCTCCTCGGGGAATGGAAATGCTATTAGTGGATTTATTCATTAATCCACTAATTGGGGGATTTCGTTTCAGAAAACCAATCGTCTAAAAGAGTATACAACGGGCCAATGAAATGCCAATGAATTGGCAGTGTAAGCTTGCGCACGTGTGCCTTATTGCCAATTATCTCCGCATATAAGCACAGGTGAAGCAAGTGAACGCCATTCTTTTAAGCTGAAGAGACTGACACTTACAGCTAAGGAACAGTCATTATCACCGAGGAGGGTTACTTTAGGAACCAGAGCGTTCCCTTTCGGATGGGGAACTTCAATGCTATTAGTGGATTTATTCAATTATCCACGAATTGGGGGAATGTATGAAAAATGCCATAATGACTGCACCTTACCTTCGCCTCCGATGAGAGGATAGCCAGGCATAGCGTGAGCACTCCTGCATCAAAGAGAGGGGCGGTCCTCCGACGTGGTCCCTGGCCCTTACTTATCCCACTTCAAAAGAAGTTTTACGTATTTATATATATTTTTTGGGAAGTCTTAAGCATCTAAATAATTCTAGGAAAATACGCAGTCCCGATAGGGAGGACGCTGCGGAG